GATAAGACGCACTGACATTTTCCCCCCATTTTTGGCTCCTGCAGACTCTCAACATATCTGTCTACCTGTACCTCATACCTAAAAACAGGTTAAACATGTAACATGTTTCAAAGGCGAACTTATCCTTTACCCACTTCCTGTCGGCCACTGTATATAAACGGCCAGAAGGTGTCAGTGCAGCGGCGGGTTGCCATTCTTAAACGGCGCCCGCCATTTTGGATTGTGTGCGCTCTGTGTGAGGTCCCGATCATGTGATCACTGATTGGTCAATCAGTGATCACATGAATAGGTGTAAGCAAGATGTCACTTCTGACATCATTGCTTACTACTTGTGAAATCTGTGAATGATCACAGAGATCACATGGTACAAGGCTATTCACATCAGCCTTGTACCATGTGACAAGCTGTGACCAATCACAGCTCACACTGTATTTCTCAATGGCTGCAAGAATGCAGCCAGAGAGAAGGAGAAATGATTGCTTTTACAGCCTTTTATGGGTGTAAATGCAATCAGTGTAAAAAATTTTTTTTTTCATTTATATAGCAAGAAACAAAACAAAAATCCCAGTGGTGAATAAATACCACCAAAATAAAGCTTTATCTGTCTCACAAAATTCATATGGGTACATTGTTGCATGACTGCGCAATTGTCATTCAAAGTGTGATAGCACTGAAAGCTGAAAATTGGCCTGGACAGGAAGGGGGTAAAAGTGTTCGGACATGAAGTGGTTAGGCACCTGAGTTTGCCCAGTGTAGTTTCTGACGCATATCCCCCAACTGGAAGCCCATGAATGACTGTGAGTGCCTGTACTTGGGCATATGCTTTCAAAAGATACACATTTTTCTATTCTTTGGATGTGCCTGAACGCTATATACTCATATTTACATTAGCATCAACTTTGTTTCAACAAAGCAGAGACAAAGAGGAGAATGTAAAAAGGAGACCAAAGCTCCCTCTGCTGATTGGATAGAAGATTGCCTAATATTTATATGCCGTATTTCATGTTTACTTGAATTAATATTTTTTATTTTTTAAACTTTTGTTTGTGTTTTTTTAGTTATCATATTCGTTAAAGAAAACATGTACAAAATTGCCATATCACACATTTACCTAGTAGAGTAGGGAAGTGTTAGGTTTTTTTTATGCTCTGTATCCTCTTGTCCCGGTGACACCCTCTCATTTCTTCTGGTGTTACAAGGACAGGATGAATGAGAGAAAATCTTCCTAATGAGGACACAGACAGCAATAAAAACATGAAAGATTATAACACTTACAGCGCATCCAGAAAGTATTCACAGCGCTTAACTTTTGTCACATTTTGTTATGTTACAGCCTTATTCCAAAATGGATTAAATTAATTTTTTCCTCAACATTCTACAAACAATACCCCATAATGACAATGTGAAAGAAGTTAGTTTTGAAATCTTTGCGATTTAATAAAAAAAGAACTAAAAAAGCCACGTACATAAGTATTCACAGCCTTTGCTCAATACTTTTTTGAAGCACCTTTAGCACCAATTACAGCCTCAAGTCATTTTGAGTATGAAGCTACAAGCTTGGCACACCTATTTTTGGGCAAGTTCTCTCATTCTTCTTTGCAGTACCTCTCAAGCTCCATCAGGTTGGATGGGGAGTGTCGGTGCATAGCCATTTTCAGATCTCACCAGAGATGTTCAATCAGGTTCAAGTCTGGGCTCTGGCTGGGCCACTCCAGGACATTCACAGAGTTGGCCTGTAGCCACTCCTTTGTTATGTGGGCTGTGTGCTTATGGTCGTTGTCCTGTTGAAAGATGAACCATCGCCCCAGTCTAAGGTCCAGAGCGCTCTGGAGCAGGTTTTCATCAAGGATGTCTCTGTACATTGCTGCATTCATCTTTCATTCAATCCTGACTAGTCTCCCAGTTCCTGCCACTGAAAAACATCCCCACAGCATGATGATCCCACCACCATGCTTTACTGTAGGGATGGTACTGGCCAAGTGGTGAGTGGTGCCTGGTTTCCTCCAGACATGACACTTGGCATTCAGGCCAAAGAGTTCAATCTTTGTTTCATCAGACCAGAGAGTTGTTTCTCTTGGTCTGAAAGTCCCTCGGGTGCCTTTTGGCAAACTCCAGGTGGGCTGCCATTTGCCTTTTAATGAGCAGTGGCTTTCGTCTGGCCACTCTACCATACAGGGCTGATTGGTAGAGTGTTGCAGAGATGGTTGTTCTTCTGGAAGGTTCTCTTCTCTCCACAGAGAAACGCTGGAGCTCTTTCAGAGTGACCATGGGTGCTTGGTTACCTCCCTGGCTAAGGCCCTTTTCCCTTGATCGCTCATTTTGGCCAGGGCGGCCCGCTCTAGGAAGATTCCTGGTGGTTCCAAACTTCTTCCATTTAGGGATGATGGAGGCTACTGTGCTCATTGGGACTTTCCATGCTGCAGAAATTTTCTGTACCCTTCCCCAGATCTGTGCCTTGATACAATCCTGTCTCAGAGGTCTACAGACAATTCCTTGGACTTCATGGCTTGGTTTGTGCTCTGACATGCACTGTTAACTGTGGGACCTTATATAGACAGGTTGATGCTTTTCCTAATCATGTCCAATCAACTGAATTTCCCACAGGTGGACTCCAATCAAGTTGTGGAAACATCTCAAGGATGATCAGTGGAACAGGATGCACCAGAGCTCAATTTTGCGTGTCATGGCAAAGGTTGTGAATACTTATGTACATGTGTTTTGTTTCGTTTTTTATTTTTAATAAATTGCAAAGATTTCAAAACAAACTTCTTTCACATTGTCATTATGGGGTATTGTTTGTAGAATGTTGAGGAAAAAAATGAATTTAATCCATTTTGGAATAAGGCTGTAACATAACAAAATGTGGCAAAAGTCAAGTGCTGTGAATACTTTCTGGATGCACTGTAAGTTTTTTTTGCATTGTGCATTGCGTTGATGCACACATTCACACACATTGCATTTTGAATGGGCTTGCATTGCAGCTAAATGGACAAAAAGGACATGCAGAAATTTTGTGTTGTGGTGCACTGCAGCTCATGTAAATGTATATGGACCCTTAAAGCAGAACAAAACGAATCTGCAAACTGGCAGGCTTTTTATTGCTGAAGAGACTTGCTATGTCTTAGTGAAAGTGATAGGAAATAAAAAAATGACAGCTGAATGGCCAGGTGGTGATGCATCACTGGTTACTAGGAAGCCTGCTGGCATCCTAACAACCAGCCTGAGCAGAAAGTTGTCTGTTCTTGCAGTGGTAGTGTGTATTATTTCTTTTGACAGTTAGAGATTTGGCTCAGCAATCAGGAGAACACTCCATTTAGTTCACCTGTTCCCTGAACAGGCAAAGTCCAAACCCGAAGCTCGTCGTTAGTCAGTTCATATGTGCAATGAAGCAGAACCTGGCTGACTGCTAGTTCTGTCCCTGCTGTACTGGGTCTTACAGGGCGCCGATATAATTTTAGGAAGTTAGGTTAGTTGCATATAGAAATTCATTCTGCTTAAATAACATTTATTGGGAAATAAAAGGGATAAGAAAAATGTTGTTTACATCTACGGTTTGCATCCCATTAATACAAGTTAAAGCGTCATACTTACAGATTCAAATATACATTATTCCACCTAAAGAATCAGATGTGATATGCTATATACTAGGAGTTATATTGTGTAGTTTAGTGGGTTAGTAGTTTGTTAACCTGTGAACTATTGGTTAACTATAAACTAACTGCACATTTTTTTTTTTTTATCTTTTCTTAGATCAATTGGGAGGTAACTGCTGAAGAAACCAAAAAATGTCACAACAAAGGCAAAAATGTTCAGGTATTTCTCCTTTTTTTTGTGTGCTTTTTATTTTGTATGAGAATAAAAAGGACTTCTGAACACACCGAGTGTTGTAGATGGAAGGTCTGTAGTTGCCAATGTCATGACTGTGCTTTGTGTGCCAAGCCTGCAGGTGTCTGCCTGTTTTTATTTTCGCAAGGTTCCAATGTTTCTTCCAGTTAACTCCCTGGTTATCTTATTTGAAAGCAACTTAACTCCTTAATATTTCTCCAAATTCTATGTATATTCTGCTGAAAATCCTAAATTGCTTTCATTTAATTCTGCCCATTAAGCATGTTTAAAGCTTATTTCCAGATTTTTTTTTTTAAACGTCAGATTGGGGAAGAATTAAAATTTCTTGTCTGTGACCCCATTGGGGAGATTTTTCCTTTATGTCCCTGTGACATCTATACTGGAAATGAGGGGAACAGTTGTTAGAGGGACACAAATGCACACAATACAACTGAAACATTGAAGTCTTAATCTCTTCATTAAGCTGGCCATAGTTGATTCGAATCTCGGCCAGTTCAGCAGGGACCAGTCGAAATTCGAAATAGCCGCGATTATTGTCAGCGGCTATAGGCGCTAGCAATAATTACTACGTTCTCGCGGCGGGAAGTCTCCGCCCCCAATCCCCCAGGAGAACACAATAGTCCGTGGTTGCAGGAAAGAAAATCACATAATCTATGGCCTGCCTTAAGCTGACCATATGCTACACAATCTGATTGTACAATGTATTTTACTTGCATCACCATGGTACACAGTAATGACATAGAGGTCAACGGATAAAGACGCAAACGTTCATCTCTCCTGGTAATGTCAAATGCTGTTGAGATATATATATATATATATATATATATATATATATATATATATATAGATAGATAGATAGATAGTAACCAGGAGATATTGGATGAGATAGATAGATAGAGAGATATATATATATATATATATATATATATGCATTATATTGCCAAAAGTATTGGGACGCCTGCCCTTACACCCACATACAACTTACAACTTTAATGGCATCCCAGTCTTAGTTCAATATCAATTTGGCCCACCCCTTGCAGCTAAAACAGCTTCAACTCTTCTGGGAAGGCTGTCCACAAGGTTTAGGAGTGTGTCTATGGGAAGGTTTGACCATTCCTTGCTTTGTGCACTGGTGCGCAGTCATGACGGAACAGGAAGGGGCCATCCTCAAACTGTTCCCACAAAGTTGGGAGCATGAAATTGTCCAAAATGGTATGCTGATGCCTTAAGCGTTCCCTGCACTTCACTGGAACTAAGGTGCCAAGCCCAAGCCCTGAAAAACAATCCCACACCATAATCCCCCCTCCACCAAACTTAACACTTGGTGCAATGCAGTCAGGCAAGTACCGTTCTCCTGGCAACCACCAAACCCAGACACATCCATCGAATTGCCAGACAGAGAAGCATGATTCGTCACTCTAGAGAATACGTCTCCACTACTCTAGAGTCCAGTGGTGGCATGCTTTACACCAATGCATCTGACACTTTGTATTGTACTTGGTGATGTCATTTTACGTGGAATACCACTTCATGGCTGAGTTGCAGTTGTTCCCAGTTGTTTCCACTTTGTTTTAATACCACTAACAGTTGACCGTGGAATATTTAGTAGCAAGGAAATTTCATGTATGGACTTATTGCACAGGTGGCAACCTATCACGGTACCACGTTTGAATTCACTGAGCTCCTGAGAGCGACCCATTCTTTCAAAAATGTTTGTAGAAGCAGTCTGCATGCATAGGTGCTTGAATACTTTTGGCAATATAGTGTATGTATATATATCTATATCCAGGTTTTGGCCAGGCTGTACATCTGAAAAGGTGCCATCAGTGCTGGAAAAAAAAATATAAATATCTATCTCCAGGTTTTAGAGCAGCATATGCTCCCGTCAAGACAACATCTTTTTCCGGGACATCATTGTATATTTTAGCAAGACAATGCTAAACTGCATCTATGACAACAGCATGGCTTCTTAGTAGAAGATTCCATGTGTTTAACTGGCCCGCCTGCAGTCCAGACCTTTCACCAACTGAAAATATTTGGTGCAACTTGAAACAAAAAATACAACAAAAAGACCCAGGAGTTGAGTCGTAGATATTAGAATCTAATATCAGGCAAGAATGGGACAAAATTCCTCTTCAAAAACTCCAGCATCTGGTTCCTCCATTCCCAAATGAGTGTTGTTAAAAGAATAGGGGATAGTACACCTTCGTGGTAAACATGGCCTGGTCCCAACTGAGACAAGTTGCTGCCATCAACTTAAAAATTACCCTTTTTTTTTTTTTCTTAAATTGGTACATTTTCAGTTTTAAACATTTGATATGTTTTCAATTTTCTCTTGTGAATAAAATGAGTTTGAGATTTGAAAATCATTGTAATCTGTTTTTATGTAGATTTTACACAGTGTAAAACTTTTTTGTAATTGGAGTTGTAGGATGTGTCTTTTGAAAGGACTGTGAGGGGCAAGTGTAATTTGTCAGTTACACTTACCTTCATGCTGTTTTTCCCAAGGTACAGGTCCCTGAAGAATCTGATGCCAGCACAGCGGTACCACAAGCTGCTTCTGATCCCTGGGTGTTATGCTTCATGTACTTTTCACTATTTCTTTTACAAAGAGCTTTATTGAATATTAAGCAAAGATAAACAAACATTCGGAACATAGATGCAATGACCAACAGTTAGAAAATTGTAGTGGGTGAGGGGAAGCTAATTCAAGGCATGCACTGGAAAAGGCATAAGCTGAAAAGTTTACATATGTGCCCTGTAGGAAAAGATGGGGAAGGGGGTGGGGAAAGGACGATTAACAAACCTTTGTGGGTCAATGATAATATAAACTCTAAGGGGGGAGTTTTGCTACATCAACATTTCAAGAGAACGGGAGAGGCACAAGAAGAGGCCTTCTCCAAAAGGTGATACATGTTCAAAACCTAGGGATTACAAAGAAATCCAGATTGCGTTGGTAGTATTGCAGATGTAGTGCAGGCACTATCCGAAAAATATTTTTAAGGACAGATTTGACAGGAGGTTAGGAAAAGAAACAGTAGAGAGACACGGACAACAACAACACCAAAAAAAAAAAAGGGGGGGGGGGGCTCCGGGGCAATCACAGCGAAATTCCATCCTCATATCGACAGAAGGGACTGGTCAAATCTCGAAGGTTGAGATACATCCAGCCAGGGACGCCATACCTGCAGAAATTTTGTATGGGTATCCAACAATATGGCCGTCAGTTTTTCATTAACCATTATGAAGTTCATTCGGTTTTTGACAGCCTCAAAACTAAGGAGAGGAGTTTTCCAAGCTCTCGCAATTGTCAATTTAGTTGCCATAAATAAAAATGATGCCAGCTGCCATTCAGAACGGAGGAGGCCCTCCAGCGGTTTAAATAGAAGCCTTCATACGGGTTACGCTTAATGTCTGCGTGAAGGATAGTGCGGAGGAGGGCATACACTCTGATCCATAATCTACTTACTTTAGGGCAAGTCCACCAGATATGAGCCATAGTACCCGATTGTTGGCATCCCCTAAAACAGACCGGGGAATATGTAGGGATAAAACTAGCTAGACGAGCAGGAGTATAATACCACCGGTATAGAATTTTGTAGGCATTCTCAAGAATAATGACATTCCTAGAACATTTAGATAGTGCTTGGGTCATGTTCTGCCAGTCCTGTTGATCCAAGGTCCCCCCTAATTCAGACTGCCAACGCTGATGATAGTAGCGAACTGGAGGGGTTCTATAAGATATAATGGAAGAATAAATCAAGGAAATCAAACCCGGAGCATGAGGTCTATGTCTGCACTGGCTTTCAAAAGGGGACAGACGGTACGGTCCTGGATGCGTGCGTATTAGTGTATTAATAAAGTGACGAAGTTGAAGATATCCAAAATGTTCTCGGAGAGGGATGTTATAAGAAGAACGCAGAGCGTCAAAGGTAATTATTCTAGTGGGAGATAGGAGTGAGTGAACATCATAAAAACCATGCGCTTGCCACCAGGCAAACTGTCTAGGATTATCCCTACCCGGAGGGAATAATGGGTTATGCAATAGACGTAACAGCGGCAAGTGAGGAGAGATAAGGCCAGCGGAATATTTGATAGAATCCCAGAGACGTAGCGAAAGCGTCAGCGTTGGACTAAGGGTAGATGGACGTTGAGAGATAGGAAGCCATGGCAAGGAGGAGAGCGGTATCGGGTGAGAGTCCATCATATCTACAACAGCCCACAGGGGGAAGTGGTGAGATGCATGAACATGAGCTAAGGGGGCAATGTTAGCTGCCAAATAGTAAGACTGGAGATTTGGAACAGATAACCCGCCCATACTCCGTCGTGCGAATAAGATATGTTTGCTAATTCTGGGTCGAGAAGAGCTCCAAATAAAGGACAAAAGTTTTCGCTGATGAATACGCAATATGTGCGAAGGTACTGGAACTGGCAAGACACGAAATAGATACAGTAGTTTAAGAAGATAGGTCATACGGATTGCGTTAATTCTGCCGAACCATGAAAGCGGGAAATGAGACCAAGAGGACAATAGCTCTGTCAACTCATGAAAGACAGTGGGAAAGTTAGCCTGATACAGTCCGTCATATGTCGGGGTAAGCTTAATTCCGAGATATGGTAAGGCCGAAAGCCATTAAAAAGGGAACGTTTGCTCCAAAGTGGTCAAGAGTGATGGTGGGAGGGTAACTGACATAGCTCTTGATTTAGCTGGGTTGACATGTAAGCCTGAAAGGGTTGCAAAGGAATCGAGAACCGCGAGCAAATTGGGCAAAGTAACCCCCGGGTTCGAGATTGACAATATGTCATCTGCAAACAAAGACAATTTATGTTGGGAGCTCGCCACATCAATCCCCTTAATATCAGGATGTAAACGAATGGCTTCTGCCAATGGTTCCAAGGCTAGGATAAAAAGTAAAGGGGAAAGTGGGCAGCCTTGTCTAGTGCCTCTGGCAACCAAGAACGTAGAGGACTCAAATCCATAGTATTTAAGCTTCGCTTGAGGGGATGTGTATAGCGAAGAGATCCATCGTAGGAAGGAAAGGACCGAAGCCAAAGCGGTGAAGGACCGATAGGAGATACGGCCAGGATAGAGTGTCGAAGGCCTTATTGATGTCTAAGGATAAGAGCATCATATCGAATTTACGAGTATGGCCAAATGTTGCAATTGTAAAATACGTCTAATAGCATCTCCGGCCTGCCTGTGGGGAACAAATCCCACCTGGTCCTTTTTGATTAGGCGAGAAAGGAAGGAATTCAGTCGAGTAGCTAAGATCTTAGTAAGAATCTTCACGTCGATATTGATGAGAGATAGGCCTATAGTTTGCCCAGGAAGAGTGATCTCGATCTGGTTTAGGGATTATCATAACCACATTAGCAGTTAACGAGTCCGGGGAAAAATTCGAACCTCCCTTCACCGCATTAAACATAGCAGCAAAGTGAGGAGCGAGTACATCAGCTAATTTCTTATAGTATAGTGCCGTATATCCATCGGGACCAGGGCGTTTGCCCGTTTTCAGGTCTGCTATGCATTGCAAAACCTCAGATACTTGGATATTACGATCCATCAAATCCTTATGGGCTGACGTTAAATAGGCAGGGGCAGACGAGATAAAAAGTCAGAAATGGACTGAGGGTCGGCCCGAGTGGGATCAGAGTAAAGTTTAGCTAGTTGGTGCCGGAACTCTTCTAAAACCGCTACAGGGTTTGCTCGTAAGGGTATTGTGACGAGTACGTAAAGATATCAGTTTTAGGATGCTGCGCAAAAGAACGCAATCTACGGGCCAACATAGAGTCTGGTTTGTTTGCTTTGCTATACCACTTCTGGCGAGTCCATCGTAAAGAGCGCTCAGCCTCATCTGTTAAGCGTAAAGAGCGCTCAGCCTCATCTGTTAAGCAATAGATCCAATTCTAAACGAGCCTGATCCAACAGTCTGCGGTTCGACGGGGAAGGTGATTGTTTAATTTGGGCCGACGCAGAAGCTAACTTCGATTCCAACTGACACTGTTTAGACTGTCTTTCCTTCTTTCGCCTTGAAGCTATTTGGATAATATGTCCCCTAAGAACCGCCTTGTACGCTTCCCACAATGTTACTGAAGAAGAGACAGAACCCAAGTTCAATTGGAAATATTCCTGAGACTTACGATGTAGTTCCGCCTGGATCTCCTTTAACGAAAGCAAGGAGTCATTCATTATCCACAAAGAGGAGGCCGGCCTACATAGGAGAGATCGACAAAAACCCAAGATAGGCTCATGATCTGACCATGGGACCGTAAATATAGAAATAGAGCGAACTAAAGGGAGGTGTTTACGTGAAATGAAGGTAACATCTATGCCATGGATCGTGCCCTGGAGCAGGAGGTATCTGCCATTGGGATCAGCAATACGCCTCACACAGACGAATGGAGTTTTACTATGGAAGGCGACCAATACGCCTCTCTGTTTAGGGGGGCCAGTAGCTTGAAATATCTGAGGGTAACGTGCATCAAAATATTTTGGGGCAGAGGTAGTGGAGAAGTGAGTTTCTCGCAAACAAGCAATGTCAACTCGGCGAGCCCGGAGAAACTTAAATATCTTTACCCGTTTCTGCGGAGAGTTCATCCCCTGGACATTCAGTGATAACCAGTTCAACGACATGGTGATCTAAAAAAAAGGAAGATTAAATCCGCCGCGATCACCGGGAGCCCTGGAAAAAAATTTAT